AGTAGTAGTAGTAGTAGTAGTAGTAGTAGTAGTGGTGTTAGTAGTAGTAGTGGTAGTAGTCGTAGTCGTAGTAGTATCAGTGATAGTAGTAGTAGTAGTAGTAGTAGTAGTAGTAGTAGTAGTAGTAGTAGTCGTAGTCGTAGTAGTAGTAGTAGTAGTAGTAGTAGTAGTAGTAGTAGTAGTAGTAGTAGTAGTAGTAGTAGTAGTAGTAGTAGTAGTAGTAGTAGTAGTAGTAGTAGTAGTAGTAGTAGTAGTAGTAGTAGTAGTAGTAGTAGTAGTAGTATAAGTAGTAGTAGTAGTAGCAGTAGTAGTAGTAGTAGTAGTAGTAGTAGTAGTAGTAGTAGTAGTAGTAGTAGTAGTAGTAGTAGTAGTAGTAGTAGTCGTAGTCGTAGTAGTACTGCTATCAGTATTTGTATTCGTAACATAAAAACTTCGTCGTAGGAGTAGTAGTAGTAGTAGTAGTAGTAGTAGTAGTAGTAGTAGTAGTAATAGTGGTAGTAGTAGTAGTAGTAGTTGTGGTGGTGGTGGTGGTGGTAGTAGTTGTCGTAGTCGTAGTCGTAGTCGTAGTCGTAGTAGTAGTAGTAGTAGTAGTAGTAGTAGTAATCGTGATAGTATATAAGTAGTAAGTAGTAGTAGTAGTGGTGGTGGTGGTGCTAGGATTAGTGATAGTAAAGAGTAGAGTAGTAGTAAGTAGTAGTAGTAAGTAGTAGTAGTAGTAAGTAGTCGTATAAGTAGTAGTAGAATAGTAGTTAGTACTGATTTAAAGTAGTATTAGTTTAGTAGTCATAGTAGTAGTCGTAGTAGTATCAGTCGGAGTAGTATAGTTTATATAGTAGTAGTAAGTAAGAGTAGTAGTAGTATAGGAGTATCCGTAGTTAGTAATCGTAGTAGTAGTAGTAGTAGTAGTAGTAGTAGTAGTAGTGTAGTAGTAGTAGTAGTAGTAATAGTAGTAGTAGTAGTAGTAGTAGTAGTAGTAGTCGTAGCAGTAGCAGTAGCAGTAGCAGTAGTAGTAGTCGTAGTCGTAGGTAGTAGTAGTAGTAGTAGTAGTAGTAGTAGTAGTAGTAGTAGTAGTAGTAGTAGTAGTAGTAGTAGTAGTAGTAGTAGTCGTAGTCGTAGTCGTAGTAGTAGTAGTCGTAGTAGTAGTAGTAGTAGTAGTAGTAGTAGTAGTAGTAGTAGTAGTAGTAGTAGTAGTAGTAGTAGTGGGTGGAGGAGGAGGAAAACGAGAAGGAGGTGGAGGAGGAGGGCGAATATCACAGCCACAACGACGACAGCGAGAAGGACGATGACGACGGCGGCGGCGGCGGCGACGAACGGCCTCCTCGCCGCCGTCCTCGCTGTCACTCTCCTCCATGGAGCGCCGCAGGAGCTCCCGCAGGCACCTCTCCTGTGCGCCCTCGAGGTCTTCGAGGCTGAACACGCGGCCCGAGGGGTCGCCGAGGGACCCTGCCCTCTTCCTGTGAACATCGTTTAACCGATCCCTATCCCCACTGGCGTGGTCTTGGCTCCACTGGCCAACGAGGGCATACGCCTGTTCCTCCAGGTTTCGCGGGGCCTGTCCACGCTTGGGAGGGTGGGCCGGTGGGGCTGAGATACACTGGCCCACTGGGGATGGGCATCGGTTAGGCGATGTCGATCCTGGGCGTGGGGCAGCCAGGGCGGCGAAGATCGGGGCTCTTGGGCCTCTGATGACATCGGGAGCCCTCCAGAGGCCGTCGGGGGCCGCTGGCGTCGTGGTGGTGGTGGTGGTCGTCGTCGTCGTCGTCGCCACGGGGATGGCGAGACTTGGCATCCTCCAAAGCATCCAGGAGGCCTCCTGGAGGGCCCGGGAAGCCCCTCGGCGGCCCCAGGAAGGTCCTTTGGGACGGTACCTTTTCAAAGTTGCGTTTTCTCCTGCGCGCTGCGCGCAATCGTCTCCAACTCTTACATCAGATGCGAGGGTTGAGCACGGATTGTTTTCAAAATAGTGCTGTTGCCTCAGCGACGCGCAAGCCCGTTTTCTTAATGCAGCCTCAGAATTACCCAGGCGAAGGACCCAACCATGTGCAGTTATGAGTAACGCAATTGTGGGTATCGTCCTCGGTGAAGCTGTCTATGGGGCCACGACGCGTGTGACGGCCGTGCCAAAAATGGCGCGGTACGCCATGCGGGCGCTGCAACCGGAGCCGTCGGTGAAGCCCCCCATGTGAGGCCACGAAACGTGTGAAGGGTGCGCCGAAATACAGGGTGCAACCGCGTGCGGGCCCTTCGGCGCTCCCTATGGGACCACGAATCCGGTGAGGGGTGCGCCGCAAGGAAGGATGAAACTGCATGCGGGCGCTGCCGCTGGTGCTTCTGATCGAGCACGTATGGGGCCACGAAACGTGTGAGGGGTGTGCCGGATTGTGGATGGAATTGCATGCGGACCCTGCCACTGGGGCCTTCGATGGAGCCCCTTTATGGGGCCACGGGACGTGCGAGGGGTGCGCCGAAATGAATGTGGCGATGCATGCGGACCCTGCCACTGGGGGCTTCGGTGGAGCACCCTGTGGGGCCACGAAACGTGTGAGGCGTGCGCCGAAATGGGGGTGGAGCTGAATGCGGACCCTGCCACTGGGGCCCTCGGTGGAGCATACTATGCGGCCACGAAGCGTGTGAGGGGTGAGCCGCAATGGAAGTGGAATTGCATGCGGACCCTGCCACTGGGGCCTTCGATGGAGCTCCTTATTGGGCCACGGAACGTGTGAGGGGTGCGCCGAAATGGGGTGGAACTGCATGCGGACCCTGCCACTGGGGGCTTCGGTGGAGCACCCTGTGGGGCCACGAAACGTGTGAGGTGTGCCAGGTGTGCGCCGACATGGAAGCGGAACTGAATGCGGACCCTGCCACTGGGGCCCTCGGTGGAGCACCCTATGCGACCACAAAGCGTGTGAGGGGTGCGCCGAAATGGAAGTGGCACTGCATGCGGACCCTGCCACTGGGGCCTTCGGTGGAGCACCCCATGCGGCCACGAAGCGTGTGAAATGCGCGCCGACATGGAAGCGGAACTGACTGCGGACCCTGCCACTGGGGCCTTCGGTGGAGCACCCTATGGGGCCACGAAACGTGTGAGGGGTGCGCCGGGATGGGGGTGGGACTGCATACGGACCCTGTCACTGGGGGCCCTCGGTGGCGCACCCTATGGGGCCACGAAACGTGTGAGGGGTACGCCGACATGGTGGACATGCGGAGAGCGGAGGCAGGGATGGGAGGAGGGAGGAGGAAGGAGGGAGGAGGGAGGAGGAGGAGGAGGGAGGAGGGAGGAGGGAGGAGGAGGAGGGGAGGAGGAGGACGAGGAGGAGGAGGAGGAGGAATAGGGGAGGAGGAGGGGAGGAGGAGGAGGAGGAGGAGGAGGAGGAGGAGGAGGAGGAGGAGGAGGAGGATGAGAAGGAGGAGGAGGAGGAAGAGGAGGAGGAGGAGGGGGAGGAACCGAGGAGAGGAGGATGCGGGGCGCTGTCTCTTCAAAACGAGGACCCAACACCACAGGATGGTTGCGAAATATAAGCGAACGCAGTTTTCCAAGATGGTTTTCGCTCGAGACTTCGTTAATTCGAAGCCCTGGAACTTCAACACATGTAGCACTGCACATATTCAGGGCGGCTCTTTTTCAAACCGGAGCTCTCGCTTGAGACTTCCTCGCAGGTAACGACCACACATGAAAACATACGCAACAGTTGCACATATGTGGGACGGCCCTTCTTCGAAATGGGAATCTCGCTGGTCACCTCGTTGAACTGGCTCGTCACACTTTTCCCCGGTCCTCACTACGCGCCAGAAGGATGCGGGGCAATTTCTTTTCAAAGCTGGGCCCTCGCCAATGACAGGCCCCACTGCGCTGGACTTTCAAGGGGGGCGCTTCGTGCAGTGAAAAGGCACGTTTGTGGGAGGGGACTTGGGACGGGAGGGTGGGTGGCAGCACTGTTGATGCAGCTTGGGTGCTCTCTTCTCCTCCTCGTAGCTCGCAGCTGGCTGTTGGCATTGGGTCCGATCAGGAGCACTCCCCCCCCCCAAGGGGGCGGTCGCCCTGGGGGATTGATCAAGCTAGATCTGGAACTGTAAGAGAGAAGGTAAAGGGTGGTGCGATCCAACGGACCTCCCCAGCGGCGGGGTACCAGGTCCGCTGGCGCCCTGGGGAGGAGGGACGGGGAGAGAGGAACGAAATGCTCCCCTCCTTCTCCTCCTCCTCCTCCTCCTCCTCCTCCTCCTCTTCCTCCTCCTCCTCCTCCTCCTCTTCCTGCCGACGAGGTGGGAGGAGGGGCCCCGCCCGCTTCCTGAGGTCTCGGAACTCGCGCTCAAGCTCGTCGGCGCGGCCGCAGCGCCTCAGCGCCCGCCTCACGAGGAAGTGCACGCTGTCCTCCCCCGGGAACCTCTCGAGGAAGGCGGGGGGGGGACACAAGGAAAGGGGGGAGAAGGGAGGGGATAGCGGGGAAGGGTGAGGAGGAAGGAGGAAGATGGAGGAGGAGGAGGAGGAGGAGGAGGAGGAGGAGGAGGAGGAGGAGGAGGAGGAGGAGGAGGAGGAGGAGGATTGAGGAGGAGGAGGAGGAGAGGAGGAGGAGAGGATGGAGGAGGAGGAGGAGGAAAGGTGGAGGAGGAGTGGAGGCGGACAACGACGAGGGGTGGGGGGGGGGATGGGCAGAGGAGGAGGGCGGGAATAGGGGGGCGGATCAGGGGGATAAGGAGTGTGTGGGGTGGGGGGGTGGGGGAAAGGGGGGAATCAAGGGGGAGAAGGAAAGCCGCGAGAAGGAAAAAAGGAAATAAAGTCTTTTAGTCGCCGAACTCCCGGTGCCCGGTGCTGGGCTCCCGATTCTCGGTTCCCTGGTTGTGGTTCCCGACTCCGGGTTCCCGGCTCCCCGTTCCCGGTTCCTGGTTCCCGGTTCCTGGTTCCAGGTTCCCGGTTCCCAAATCCCGGTTCCCGGTTCCCAGTTCCCGGTTCCTGGTTCCTGGCTCCCAACTCCCAGCTCCCAGCTCATGGCTCCCAACTCCCGGTTATCAATTCTCGGTTCCGGGTTCTCGGTTCTGGGTTCCCGGGTTCCCGTGGTTCCTGGCTCCTGGTTCCGAGTTCTCAGTCCCCGGTCTTTCTCTGTCTCTCCCTTACTTTTCTCTCTCTCTCTCTCTCTCTTTATATATATATATGTAGATATCCACTTACACGGGTATGTAACACATCTACTTAATAGACATGTATATGTATGGGCCGCGCTCCCTTTCTCACCCTCTCTCTCTCTCTCTTTCACTCCCTCCCTGTCTCTCTCTCTCTCTCTTTCTTCTATATCTATACATACATACAAATATCCTCGATGTGCCAAATTATCTCTATATGTGTACCATTTCTGTCGATCGATGAACATGTGTGTATATATTTATATATATGTACGGATCGAACTGAATATGTATACCTACATCTGCGCAACATTTATAGGTTTGCATACATGTACGTGCGTGTGAATAGCGGTCTTTCACGCGTCTCTGTATACCCACACATACCTACACATTGTACATCTACCGCTTGATTGGCAGCTTTTTGTTTCTCGCTGTATCAAGCTAGACGATGCTATATATGGAGTCGTATAAGCTCATGTTTATACATAAAACTGATTTATAAGTATGTAACAACTTCTGCGTAGATATATGGTTCTACGACTGTACCTCTACCTCTCTCTCTCTACTTCCCTCCCTCTCTACAACGACGTACATACACACATATATACATACATATATGGTATGTGTGTGTGTGTGCATATATTTATATATGTATACACGTGTGTGAATGCATATGTGTAAGCTTAAGTCGGGCCTAACCCCCTACAGGGGGATTTTCGACGAAAAATAAAAAATACCCCAGACATGCCCCCACATAGCAAAATTATCCCGGCAAAACAACCTAACAACGATATGTAGAAGCATATCTGAAAGCATTCCCCTTAAGATTCAGATGAAAATCCAGTTGTAGAATTCTGCTGTTCTCGCAGTCGTAGTCGCATTCGCGATGACAGTCGCAGCGGCAACGGCAGTCGCAGTCACAGCCTCAGCCTCAGCCTGCCTCAGCCTCAGCCTCAGCCTGCCTCAGCCTCAGCCTGCCTCAGCCTCAGCCTCAGCCTGCTTCAGCCTCAGCCTCAGTCTGCCTTCAGCCTCGGCCTCAGCCTCAGCCTGCCTCAGCCTCAGCCTGCCTGCTCAGCCTCAGCCTCAGCCTCAGCCTGCCTCAGCCTCATCAGCCTGCCTCAGCCTCAGCCTCAGCCTGCCTCAGCCTCAGCCTCAGCCTGCCTTCAGCCTCAGCCTCAGCCTCAGTGCCTTCAGCCTCGGCCTCAGCCTCAGCCTGCCTCAGCCTCAGCCTGCAGCATCAGCCCCTCAGCATTCAAAATGTGGCCCAGGAATGGAGTTCTGGGAACTAGAAGAACACGAAGTGGCCTACAGTTGGCTCCGGGCATTCAAAATCATGCCCAGGAATGGAGTTCTGGGAACTTGAAGAGCACGAAGTGGCCTACAGTTGGCTCCGGGCATCCAAAATGTGGCCCGGGAATGGAGTTCTGGGAACTCGAAGAGCACGAAGTGGCCTACAGTTGGCTCCGGGCATCCAACATGTGGCCCGGGAATGGAGTTCTGGGAACTCGAAGAGCACGAAGTGGCCTACAGTTGGCTCCGGGCACTCAAAATGTAGCCCGGGAGTGGAGTTCTGGGAGGTCGAAGAGCACGAAGTGTGTGACTGTTGACGAAAAACGAGCCCGGCTCTGTTCCCGGTTCTCCAGAATGTGGCCCGGGAATGGAGTTCTGGGAGGTCGAAGAGCACGAAGTGTGTGACTGTTGGCGAAAAGCGAGCCCGGCTCTGTTCCCGGTTCTCCAGAATGTGTCCCGGGAATGGAGTTCTGGGAGGTCGAAGAGCACGAAGTGTGTGACTGTTGGCGAAAAACGATTCCCGGTTCTCCTCCCCGGCACCCGCCCAGACCCCCCTGAGGAGTCATTTGATGTTCTCTTTTGACACCACTAGAAACCTATCAGCAAAAGCTGTTAGGTAAAAATGCTCAAAACATAATCCCCCGACTATTTTTGGAATATTTTTGGGGTATTTTGTATTTTTCGTCGAAAATCCCCCTGTAGGGGGACACGCCTGACTTAAGTGTAAGCACATACGTATATACAGTGTGTCGTATTGACCTATCTGAACACCAATTCAGGTGCCACTCTCTTTTTTTTCCCTCTCTCTCTCTCTCTCCGTCAAGCTCTAGGTCTTATATATTTCTCGCTCTCTCTCTCTCTCATTCTCTCTCTTTTTTTTCTATCCCTCCCTCTCTCTGTATGTATATATGTGCAGACATATACACAGATCACTCTCCTTCGTTCTTCGCTCTCCCTCGCTCCCGGCTCCCCATGATTCCCTAAAGCATGTCCAAAGTCCTGCGTTCCCGTTTCCTGGTTCCCGGTTCCAAAATCCCAGCTATTCCGGGCTCCGGGTTCCCGGCTCCCGGTTCCCGGTTACAGGTTCCCAGCTCCTGGCTCCCAACTCCTGGTTATTCCTGGTTCCCCGTTTCCCGTTCCCGGTTCCCAGATTCAGGTGTCAAGCTCCCGGTTCCTGGTTCCCGGATTCCGGTTCCAAGATCCCGCATCCCAGTTCCCTCACGATTGCTCCATAGTGGAAGGAGGAGGAGGCGGATGAGAAAGACCAGCAGCAGCTAGTGGATTGGGAGGTGGAGGAGGTGGATGATGGTGGTGATGATGACTACGGTGAGGAGGAAGAGGAGTATGTCCCTGGAGCTCTCCTCGGGTCCACCCTGACCAGCTCTCCGAGGTGCGTCCCGTCGTGGCGTCGAGAGTCTCCAGGAACGCCCACGTGTCTCCAGAATGACCTCGTCGTCGCCGATGCCGCCGCCGGACAGCAGTCTCCGGTCAACGTCGGCCGCCGAGTGCCGACGCTGGGCGCCGAAGGCCGCGGAAGCCCCACATCACACCCGTAGAGGCAGACGACCCGAAACAGACTTCTCCCCGGCCTTGTGGAGGGGCTCCCGCTGTGTGCTCCCCCGAGGGCATGTTCTCAGCGCGGCCTCCCCTCCCCCCGCGCCCCCTCCGCCTCCCACCGCGCCTGCTCCAGTGCCTCGATCCGCCTCGGAAGCGCCCCTCCGCCGCTCGAGCGGGCTGCTTGAGCCGAGAGGCCGCAGGCCCAAACATGTTCCCGCGGGGGGGGGGTCCGTGCGGGGTGCCCAGAGATCCGACGTCGTGATTTTTTCAATGCGGGGCCCCCAGAGGCCTCGACCCATTCCCCAGGACCGGTTTTTCATCCTGAGTCGTTTTTTGACGGTCCCGAGGCCCGGCGAGGGCCTCTAGAAGCCGAAAATAACCAAAAACCCCCCGTCTTGATTTTTTCAATGCGTTGGATCTCTGGGGTTCCACCCGCCGCCCCGCGCACCTCGCTGGCAGAACACCTTGGCAGGAGCCAGCAGAAGTCGGCGGAGGCCGTGCCGTTGGCTGGTGCCCAGTGGGCACAGGGGCCGGCAGGCGGCCCGAGACGGTAGCCTCCAGGGGCGCTTCCGAGAGGCCTTCAAGGCGGCCCCAAGGCTGCCCAGCGCGGCCTCAAGACGGTCCTCCTCCTCCTCCTCCTCCTCCTCCTCCTCCTCCTCCTCCTCCTCCTCCTCCTCCTCCTCCTCCTCCTCCTCCTCCTCTCTCCTCCCTCCTTCCTCTCCTCCCTCCTCCTCCCTCCTCCTCCTCCTCCTCCTCCTCCTCCTCCTCCTCCTCTCCCTCATCCTCATCCTCCTCCTCTCTCCTCCTCCTCCTCCTCTCCTTCCCTCCCTCCCTCTCCTCCTCCTCCTCTCCTCCTCCCTCATCCCTCCTCCTCCTCCTCATCCTCCTCCTCCTCCTCCTCCCTCCTCCTCCTCCCTCATCCCTCCTCCTCCTCCTCTTCCTCCTCCTCCTCGCTCCCACTCGCCCAAGAGGGCTCCGCAAGGACCCCCAGGACGGCCGCGAGCAGCCAGATCAACACCTTCTCCTTCGCTCTTCTACGGGTTTTCGCACTTTCACTTCTTCGGGCTTCTCGCAGCCACAGACTGCCACAGAGACTTTCCAGGTGGCCTCAAGACGACCCAAGACACCCGCCAAAAGGTCCCAAGACGGCCAAACGTAGCTCAAGAGGCCCCGAAGATGCCCCGAAGACCAAGAAGCCTACCAGACGGCCTCCGAAGGTGCCAGACGGCCCAAAAGAGCGCTAAGACAGCGCAACAGGCCCCGTAAACGACACCGAAAGCTCCCCCATCGCATCCAAGACGCACAGCAGGACGGCGCCCAGGAAGGGCCCCAAACGCCCACGAGACTCTCAAGAGGCCCCACAAGGCTCCACAAGATCCGATTGGGCAACACAGGAACCAGCATGATACGTCCCTCTTCTTCCCTTATTCGCACCTCCTTCCTTTTCCCCTCTTGCGCTGCCTGGCTCTTGTCATTCCTACCATCCGCACCAGACTTCCCCGCTTCGTGCGTGCCCACACGTGCTTCCGGGTCGGGGTCCGTGGCCATCTCAGTTTATACATATATACGACCACCCTTCGGGTGATAAGGAGGTTGTGGGGGGGAGAGGGGGGGGGAACCAACATCTGATTCAATCGATCCAATTATCGATCTCACTCAACGGGACACCACGGGACACTTGTCGATCTCACTATAGATCTCATTATCGATCTCACTCAACGGGACACCACGGGACACCACGTGCCACCACAGGGCACCACGGGACACCGCGGGACACCTCTCGATCTCACTACTGGTCTCACTATCGATCTCACTCAACGGGACACCATAGGAAACCACGGGACACCACGGGACACCTCGGGACACCACATCGATCTCACTATCGATCTCACTCAGTGGGACATCACGGGACACCACGGGACACCACGGGACACCTGTCGATCTCACTATCGATTTCACTAGCGATCTCACTCAACTAAGGAATCGAACTCTATACACCGACGCTTTCGCTGGCCCTGCATTGAAATTTGCACGGGAGAGCGGATCCTGGTGTATGCGGGATCCTGGTGTATACATTTTTCATTGTTTCCCCGGGACATCGAGGAAAAAAGTATGCACCACACCACCCCAGCGTCGTCGCCGACCCTCAAAAAGTCCTGGGATTGAAAAACAGCCCGCCACTGGTAATGTACATGTTCCTGTTTCCCGTCAATGGGACACCACGGGACACCTCGGGGCACCACATCGATCTCAGTATCGATCTCAGTATCGATCTCAATATCGATCTCATTCACCGGGACACCACGGGACATCACGGGACACCGCGGGACACCGCGAGCAACCGCTGGACGGGCGGGAGGGGGAGAATCATTCGTCTTGACTTCTCCCTAGCAGCGGCGGACACCACGGGACACCAGCGGGACACCAGCGGGACACCGCGGGCCACCGGCCGCCGGAGGAGTTACATTTGGTCCGGCCGCGGCCCAGCCACAGGAGGATTTCGGGACACCAGCGGGACACCGGCGGGACACCGCGGGGCACCGGCCGCAAGAGGAGTTACACTTGGTCCGGCCGCGGCCCAGCCACAGGAGGATTCCTCTTCCCCGCCCACGCAGCTTCGCCTCGCCCGCACGCGCGCACGGCACGCACGACACGAACCCGAAACCGAAATCCATTTCCCGGTAGGGGGGATCTCCGTTTCACGTCGGACTCAACCCCCAACCTCCGATTACTGAGGAGACGCTATATGACTTTGTACTATCCGATTGCATACTACAAACAAGACGCCCAGGGACCATGAGACCACGAGGCCATGACCAGAGACCACGACCAGAGACCACGAGCCACGACCAGAGACCACGAGCCACGGATTCGGAAATCGGCGATGCACCCACTGGCGTTCGTGTGTCAATACGTTTGTGAATGTAACTGTATATGTCTATGTCTACGTACATGTCTATGTATATGTATTTGTCAGTCCTAGGGTTTTTGAGGGGCCTCACTTCCAGGAGTGTTCCGCGTCGAATCAGCGGAGCGCCGCTCCGCTACTCGGCCTCAAAGCGTGCGCACCGACATTGCGTGCTTCGCTCCCGTTGGCAGTGCGCTGCTCCGCCGCTCCGCCGCTACTTGGTTTCAGGTCCATGTCTGCTTTCCTATTCGCAGAGCGCCGCTCTGCCAATCGGCCTCGAGCCAGCGGATCAAACATTGCTTTGGTCCCATCAGCGGAGCGCCGCGCCGACAAGTGGCCTCCAACCAGGAGGATCACGATTGCTTCGCTCCCATTAGCGGGGCGCCGCTCTGCTACCTGGCCTGGAACCAAAGGATTACGATTGCCAGGCGCCCGTTAGCGGAGCGGCGCTCCATTAATTGGCCCGAGCCAGGGGGATACGATTGCCTCGCTCCCATTGCCGGAGCGGCGCTCCGCTACTTGGCCTCGACGCAGGGCTCTACCCAAACAGTGTTGGTCTTTCGTTTTGCTTTCGTTTTCCCTCCTGCCGTCTTCGCCCCACCTTTGCTGCAAAATGACATCGACACGAAAATGTTTCACAGAATCGCCACCAATAGCGTTTAGGTCGACCCCCGTCGAAACAAGGGGTTGCGATCGCTTCGAATTCATTAGCGAAGTGCCGCTCCGCTAATTGGCCGCATACTGGAGGGAAAAAGAGTGACCCACACTCATTAGCGGAGCGCTGCTCCGCTAATCCGCCTCGAACCTTGGGATTGGCGGATCGCTGCGCTCCCATCTGCGGAGAAACTGCTCCTCTCATTCGTATCGAGCCAGGGGATTGCGAGGGCTTCGCTCCCGCTGGCGGGGCGCCGTTTCGCTAGTTGGCCTCAAGCTGGGGGGTTCGGATTGCCTCCCTCTCTCCATAGCGGAGCGCTGCTCCGCTAATTCGCTTCCAACATGCGAGCCGACATTGCTTGCTTCGCTTCCATTGGCGGAGCGCCGCCCCGCCGCTCTGCTCAGAGGTTTCAAGCGGATTGCTTCTTTCCCGTTCCCGGAGCGCCGCTCTGCTCCTTCTACGATCGCCTCGCTCGTAATAGCGGAGCGGCACTCCGCGAATTGGCCTCGAACCATTGACGGGGCGCCGCTCCACAACTTTGGAAAAATCCTGAGCATTCCGGTTGCTGCTCTCGCGTTAGCAGAGCGCCGCTCCGCCAAGTGGCTTCGAAGCAAGCAATGGCAATCACAGGGTTTTAAGCAAAGCAACAGAGCGGCGCTCCGCTAATCGGAGCAGAGCAATGTTCATTCCTTGGTTCGAGGCCAATTGGCGGATCGCCGCTCCGCTAAAACAAATGATCATTTGATGCCAAGAGGCCCCAACACTGCCCCCAAGAGGCCCCCCGAGAGCGCTCCGAAGAGATCCCACAAAGTATCACTGATAACTCTGACACGCAACCCAGGCACGGTGGCGGGATGGGCCGGAGGCCATTCGAAAAAAGTGCACGATGGCACTCTTACAGACAAGTTGCTTAGGGCAACGCGCAACGAGTCCTCAACACCTCGATTCTCGTCCCTTCGCGTCGCCGCCGTTGCC